CAGTGGAAGACTGCCAAGCAACACACACTTTGTGTCTTGTTTCCAATCTTCTTCCGTGGTATCACGTTTATTATGCATTAGAAACCGAATATGATCAAGTAGCTTATTTCTAAAAGGTAATCATTTAATTTTCATGTAATTTTATGAAGGCAGTTTAATTATTTTATGATTACATAACCAGAACATGATACAATGCAAGGTCATGATGAATACACTATCTTACAACCTTAAATATGGGGGGAAAATCTTAATCAAAGCATATACGGAGATTCAATTAAAGTAATAGATAATCTGTGTTGGTGTCCCTTTCCTTTCTGGGTGGGCATTAACTCAGAGTTTCCTGGCGATGTATTAAGAAAATCCTTCCTTCTATATTATTCTAGTTTTTATTAGTTCTTGAGCTTTCTAAAAACCTGTAAGACACTGTTTTATGCTGCTCTTAAAAGTAGAATAATTAGACCCAATAGTAACAGAATAGCAACCATACGTGAGAAGACCCTCATCTCAGAAACTGGCTGCTTATCTCTGCTCCACTCTTGTCTATGGCATGCAAAGAGAATAAGTTAGATGCTGGACATGGGCTTCATGCCCTCTAGCCACTTCAAATTAACAAGAAAAGCATATCTATGATGTCCAAAAATATTTTAAGAATGTATTGATTTTTTATTAAAATTTCATGGGTTTTATGGACGTAATTAAGAGACAAAAGAACATTTCGCCATAAGAGACCACCTCAAACTCAGAGAACTCTAAGATACTAATAATGATCCCTTGTGTTCTAGTTCTCCTTATCCTCAGAGAGATTTTTATGCTTCAGGTATTAAAGAGAAGGTGACTGATAGGGATGAACATTTGTATCTTCATGATCTAGAATCCATGATCTAAAAGTCAATATAACTGTGTATTCGAAAAAAGAAACAGGGTGATCCTTGTGTGTTAGGGATAGGACTAAGGGGATGGTACATGGACAGGAATTATGGGCTCCATTGGGAAAGAGACCAGGGCATGATTGGACATCGTGCTCTGCAAGGAGAGACCTCAATGGAAAAGGCAGTGGAAGGGCTGCTGACAACCTGGATGCTGGGTCTGTGGCACCAGGGGTTTACTTGAGGTGTCTGGACTGAAGTTAGGTGGTAGGGAGGGGCTAGACTGCCAGAAAGTAGATTTGCTTTAAACATGTAATGTCTATGAACAGGAGTTATTTGGATTGCTAGCAGTTAATCTACAAATTATAGAGTTGTAAAATAGTTCAAAGACAGTAAAAGGCCCACTGATCCTGTAGAATCAGCTAATTCACCTAGTTTCCCATGGAAGTTATCCAGTAATCTTTTTGCTCTATTTCAAAGTCTTTTACAATTTTTCCCTAAAAACATTGACAATCATGGAAATAAAAGATTACTTTCAGATGCTCCACAAAATCCTATTCTTCCTTAAATTTCTTCACAAAATATAAGTTTCTTCTGATCCCCTCAGCTGATTGTGAGCTCTCTCTTTTGTAGCTCCACAATTCCATTGTCTCTTTTATGGCAGTATTTTCTTTTCTCATCAGTAATAGTTATGTATCTATCTTATTCCCCATACCAAATTTTAAGTTTTTTTTTTTAATTCCCTGCAGTAGCTAGCAGAGTGCTTATATATGTAATGTGCTCAGTAGATATACTTCATTGAATTTAGTGTAAATTTTATATCCATTGAGCTAGTCCTGATTTGTTTTGCTTATAGGTAAAGATGGCTGCTCCCTGTAAAGTATAAGATCTGAGGACCTGATCTTTGTATAGAATCATCTTCTACAGCATTAATATAAATTGAATAACTCCAGGCCATTCTTGGTTTAGATCCAGTCTAGTCCCAGATCTCTCTTGAACTACTATGAGTGCCTAAAATCATTTCCACCATTGGATTTACCAGCAAATTTAATGAATTAAGACATCATCTCTGAAAAGCTATTTTAGTACCCCACCAGCCATTAGCTCCCATCAATAGATCAGTATGGAGTAGTTTACTAACTTGACATTTCTCAAATGAATGATAAAGAAAAGGAAGGATTTTTCTCCCTCTTCTTTTAAGCATTAAAGGGAGAAATAGAACACAGAGCTGGGGATATGCTGGGTCTATAATTATTGAAGACAGACAGAAGTCATTCATGGTCATTTTTATGAGAAGACTTTACTGCTATTTTCTCCAGTGAAAATAGAAGTTTAGACAAATATTTCAGTATAAAGTGTGAATAAAAAAAACTTAAAAACATTTTTAAGGATGCCTCTTAATTTTTGAAGTACAAGTTAGATCATGATCACCAGCTAATATTTATGAGCTGGTATTACATTGAAATCTTTATGTCATCAGTTATGGGAAGAGACTGAGGAAGTTTAAAATACTGCTTTCAAAACTAGAAATGACTGTATTGGGACTTCAAAACAGTTGGCATCCTTGCATAAAAGACACTTGGTACCAATTATTTATGCACTAAATGTGTCTAGAATTCCAGATTAAATTACCACAGTTTTGATTCAGTTAGCTTTTGATTCACTGCTTATGTCTTTAATGACAAAGTTTTTCTAGAGAAAATTAAGCCTTGGAAAAGTTTTACCTGGCTAAGATTCCCCTAAAGGGTGGTGATTGATAATCTTGTGAGTTGCAGTGATCTTGTTTTTGTTTCACATTTTTGTGGTTTATATTGTATGTAGACTTCAAGTGATTGGCTGTGAGGAGAGATAAACAAGGTAATGGTTAAGGGGCATTAGTTTGAGTGAGTTTTACTTGTTTTTGTGAAGAAACATATTTGATCAAGCTAATAAACTGAGGAAATGAGTAGAGAGTGAAATATAAGTGGGGAAGAATAATTTATGTAATAAGATGCCTGCAGACATTAGAGATCACAAATTTTCATTTGTGCATTGCAAATGGTTGTTTGATTTCTATTAATGCTCATCAGCCAAGATAAAGGAAAGTATGGAACATGTGTTAGTTATTTCTAAAGTATCTATTTCCCTCTTTTCAGTAGCTTCTAATTTTCATTTGGGATCCATGTGATTCTAGGGAAATAGAATCACATGGATCCCAAATGGAACCTTTCCAGCTGCAATGTAGGAACACAAAACTGAGTTTAGGCTTATCAGTTTATCCAATTTACCTGGCCAGAGTGATTGGTTCAGTGGTGGGCACATGACCTAGGACTTTTACTGTAAATACTGGGATACATTTGCTTTTTCCTTCTGGATATGAATGAAGAAGGATTATTTTGAAATTTTAGAACCCTAAGGCTTTTGATGAGGAAAAATAGGTCACATACCAAAGACTTGGAACAAGAATGGCATCAGAATTTTCAGTAACATTACTGAAAACGAGAAGGTAATGGAGCAATGCCGGGAATGAGAATGAAAACAACCCTGAGGAAGGCAGAGTGAAAAAGAAGTTTGGTCTTGTTCACATCATTTGAGCTGCAAGAATAAGTCCTATTTGAAGCCAGTTTTACCTTTGGACTTTTTAGTCCAAATACCTTTTGTTATTTAAGCAAGAGTGTCACCATTGGGGCTGATTGGAGTTCGGTGGTGCCCCAACGGCGAGGGAGTGGGGAGAGGGATAATAACACTGCAAACGTATAGTTAGTTAGCATTTCCCTTCGGTTCTTCCTCAAATGATGGCAGTGAAGAATCATCGGTCATTGAGATTGAATAGTTTTATTAAAAATATATTTTAGACAAAGAATGCTCCAAGGAGGTACATGGATAAAGACAAAACATGCCCCAAGGAGGCAAATGGTCCCAGCAATGAGAGCTGCAACAGAGTGCTGTAATAATAACCACAACAACAAGAGGGCAAAAAGAAGAGAACAAAAAGAAGACCCAGAAGTGAGAATGTCTGCCTTATATTTGGGCAGTGATGGAGTGATTCCAAAGGCATTCCTAGGTGATTGGCAAGTGAGGTCATTTTGCTTGACACCTGGCAGCTATGTAACTGTCTAGTGTATATGAGTACTCAGAATTCTATTACCATTGGGTTGTTCTTTGAGTGGTCTCTAGTCTGGGCCCCTATTCCTTTCTTCCTCCTGCCGTTCATGTCTGACTAGCTACCTAACATGTGTATGTTTGTCTTTCTTTTGTTCATCACCTTGTCTCTAACCTTACCAAGGTAAAAAGTGAAGAAGGCTGACTACTTGTAGGTTGATCTGGGGTTATGACTGAGTTGGGCATGTGCAACGAGGTCAAGGGAATTAAATATCTTGGCAAAAGAATGATTAAAATGATGATCATGGACTCCATAGGCATGGAAGTACCTGGTCTATCTCCACTAAAATTTTCCTTTTCTCCATCTTATTTTCTTAGGGCCAAAGTCTATATTTTTCATACTATTATCTAATCTAATTAAATTAAAATTTAAAAAATCATTTATAAGCATTGTACTCTGTTAAATTTTGTGAGAATATAAAAGTCTAGATTCCTGTTTCTAATACTTGTACTACATATTAGGGAGTGTACACATACACACACCATTCACCCATTCATTTATTAAACTCTTAAAAGCAAGACAAGGCAAAATATAAGACCTCAAGTGAATTTTACA